AATCTCTAATTAATGACAGACAAGTGTCCTGCATTATGCATAATCAAGTCAGTACCTCAAGATAATCAGAAGCTCAATTTGGTCGACTTGACATGCCGACATCTTGCAAGGACGACTCGAAAGGCGTCACGTGTCGTCCCCTGGCTTAGTCGACTGCTTAACCATTCCACTCGGCCGACTAATCGACCGACACCTTGCGGGGGTCACTCAAAAGGCGGTACTTCTCGACAACCAGACAAGTAGAAATGCGACGAAACGCCTTGAGCCTCGAGCCCCTCCTGTGCACTGATGACCAATCACCTCGTAATAAATGCCATTAAATGCATTATGGGCGTCATCATTCCTTTGCCCCCAAAAGTATTTATGACACATCGGACCACGTCGGCACCGCACACCCCCGTCACTTCACATTAAACACTAAAGTGGTATATTCATCACTCATCGGCCGACACCTGTAAAGTTAAGACTGACATGGCCGCCAATCCATGCTCGGCCCAAATTACCCTTCTACTCTCCTACCCTTACTAGAAAAGATGATATTATTTTCAAGTACATGGTAAGCTTTTTTTTCTTCTTACTCTCTGAACTTAAGAACTAATGCAGTTCCCTTTTACTTCTCCACACAAGCAATCCACGGATTTGTTCGTCGGAGGAACAATCGCGGAATCACATCCCGCCCTCTTACGATTTGTTACTTGTGTAGGNGGAAGAACAACTTACTTAAGAACCGGACATTGGGAGAGTTAGAGGATCTCCGTCAATTTAATCAACTCTTTTTATTTGACCGTGTGATTCCATACATCAATAGATTGTAAGTTCACTTAATTTTCTCATCAGCCATAACGATATCTAATATTAGAATATACAAATATTGATACAATATTTGCTTACAAACAGGCCCTCAGATTGAGATAGATTTTGGGATCGTAGACGCCTGAGGGCGAGCCCACAGCGTCTTGATCACTTATTTGTTCTGGGATTTTCAGTGCGCTGGGTCAAGGCCCATGATAGAGAGAGATTTTGGGACAGTGGACGCCGACACAATTGAAAGTTCGTTCACAATTCCGAAAACTAGTCAAATTCTTAATCGACTTCCTTTGACGTGCACGACTCTAACACTTGCTTTTAATTCTAATTTTTTGATTGATAGAGCTCTGACATTTACGTTTAGTGATTGATCATTACAGATTTAACTAAAAAGGAATGAGAGGCTTAAAATGATTTTTTTTATTTTTTTTTTCATTCTCAAGTTCAGGACTTCAAAAATGCTGATGATATTGGAATGTTCTTTGGCATCAAATCAAGATTTGGGCCGCAAGCAACGTTTTAATTTTGGGCCGCGTTATTGAGAACGGCATAGAAATGGGCCTGGTTTTTCATGATGAAAAGAAACAAGAAACGTAATTAATACGCGATCAGATACGGAGGAGACCCGTGAACCTCTCCGATCCGACCGTGAGTCTTAAATGCTCGGTCACTACCCTCTCTCTCTCTCTAATTTGGCTACGAATTTAATGGGTACGATCGACCTTCTTCTCCTCTATGCTATTTCTTTCATCTTAATTAACTGCTCTCGTCTACTCAAAATTCTTATAAATATATTTAGTGAGTAAAAACATCACTCTTTGCTCCGTTTGATGGAGGCAAAGGGTAGTCAATCCAATTATTTACCGTCAAGCTAGTTGTTGATGGAATATTTCGTGCTGGGTATGCTGTATATATATATTTTTTCTATAATTCTTTTCTTAAGGAATGGGTGATTTCGGAAATGTATACATTTCTATGGTTTCACATATAGCCTTCTTCTACCCACAAAGTCTGGATTCTCTTCTACAAAAGTACGTAATCCACATTTCTGTATAATAGCTTTTTGTTCTTTTGATTGTATTTAAGAAATTTTGAATGAAGCTACTAATGAGTTTATAGTATTACCAATTGTTTATGTCACAAACTTAATTGTATGAATGTGAGGATATTTTGAGGAGTTTAGGGTCCCTTAATCTTCTCTGATGACTAATTATTTTGAGGAAAGTAGATTCCTACGTACACAAGTAACACTTGTTAGCTGGCCGGAGGAGATTTCCCTCGGCATGTCCTTTGACATTTAAGTCAGTGATAGATAAACAAATTGTCAGAATGCATAACCTAGCTAATTCGAGATCTTTTTCAGCTTATCTTGGTGTAGTAGGGTTATCTATTATTTATAGAGAATTCATGGGGGCACGTTGGTAATTCAGCATGGTCTGTGCAGTTGGTCTAACAGACTGCACTTTACACACGCCGATGGTCAGTTGAATATATAGGTCATATTTCTATTCAATGTGACAGTGATAGAACGGAGGAAACGCTAGCGTAGTCTGAGGAGTTATTATGACTTAGGTTCGAGAAGTTATAATGATTTTGGCCAACGCATTTAATGCAATGGCGACTAGGTGGTGAATTATGGCTGCCTATTGGCGATGCATTAAATGCGAATGACGCTGATGAAGCTGATATTTCATTCAGTCATTTGAGACATTCTCTAGTGAAGTATGAACAAAAGACATCTTTCGTCTCGGACTCGGATTCCTTTAATATATAGATCCCGGCCTGAAGACAGACGTAGACTGCTAGAAAGGTCGGTTGTGCTCACACTCGGGTTGAATTCATAGGACACGGCCCATTGATATGGCACGTGGTCAACTCTTAAGAGCTTATAATTAGACTTGATAATTTTCAGAACACAACACCCGTAATTGGGCGCTATAAGAGCATCTCCAAGGGTTCCCTTGGATGTCCCTTAATTTAGGGGGTACTATTGGGGAAGGAATTGGTTCTTCTCCAATGGTTCCCCTTAAAACCCCCTATCCCTTAATTAATTATATTTAGTTTTTTAATTTTATGAATTAAGATTTAATTAAATATGTAGTTTATTTATAAATGAATAAATAATTAAATATTAATAACTAAAAATAATTAATTAATTAATTAATCTAAATTAAGAAATTACTTTATATAATCATTAAATTAATTAATTAAATTAAAATTTAACAAATAATTAATTTAGATAATAATAAATTTATATAAATCGTGTTAAAAGTTAAATATTATTTTAAATTTAAATTCATATTATTTTAATATTAATTTTATTTAACAATAATATCTCAACGGTCATATTTCAACGGTCATATTCTAACGGTCATATTTCAACGGTCATATTTTAACGGTCGTATTTCAACGGTCGTTTTTTAATTAAATGTGGTCACTCCTTCTATAAATAGCACTACCAGTGTCCTTCATTTTCACTAAATTCAAATTCATTCAATTTTTTTAACTCAATCTTCAATATTATTTATGGCTAGTAATTTGTTACGTGCCTTGCTACAAGAGGAAGAGGATGACGACGATGATGATTACGCGACCTTATTAGCAATCGCATCTTTGGAAGAACACCACTCCAGCGAAGGTCAAAGTTCTCGTCGTCGTGGTTCCATTCCAGGGCACGCTGTAATTCAACGCAATAGAGCTGAAGGTCACGAGAGGCTTTTTCATGATTATTTTAGTGAATCTCCTGTGTATCCAGCAAAACTATTTCGAAGGAGGTTTCGTATGCATCGCCCACTATTTTTGCGTATTTTATCCGCAGTGGAAACACATGATTCCTACTTTGTCCAGAAACGGGATGCTGCTGGGAAAATTGGTTTATCCTCACTACAGAAAGTAACTGCTGCTATGAGGATGCTTGCTTATGGAGTATCAGCAGATTCTGTGGATGATTACGTGCGGATTGGAGAAAGCACCGCTATAGAGAGTCTCGGCAGGTTTACCAAAGCAATTGTTGCAATTTTCGGTGATGAGTATCTAAGGTCACCAACTGACGAGGACACTGCAAGATTGCTTGCAATTGGCAAACAACGGGGATTTCCTGGGATGTTAGGAAGCATTGACTGCATGCATTGGAGATGGAAGAATTGTCCGGCTGCGTATCATGGTATGTATACTGGTCACAACCACACTCCTACAATAATTTTAGAAGCTGTTGCTTCCTATGATCTTTGGATTTGGCATGCTTATTTTGGTTTACCGGGAGCTCTTAATGACATTAATGTGTTAGAACGGTCTTCCGTTTTTTCTCAACTTGCTGAAGGGCATGGTCCGACTGTTAATTATACAGTCAATGGTCATGAATACACGATGGGATACTACCTTGCTGATGGTATATATCCGTCATGGGCAACATTTGTTAAAACAATTTCTTTACCACAAGGAAATAAAAGAAAACATTTTGCTACACTTCAAGAGTCGACAAGAAAGGATGTAGAGCGAGCATTCGGGGTACTCCAATCACGCTTTGCAATTGTGCGTGGACCAGCTCGCTCTTGGGATGAGAAAATATTGAAAAATATTATGCAAGCATGCATAATAATGCATAACATGATTGTTGAAGATGAAAGAAATGATGATTATATCGACTTCACGTACGATGCTGCTGAGGAAGCCCCAACTATATCAGTGTCTCACGAACGTACAATAGATTTGTGTGAATTTATTCAGAATCATCATCGCATTAGAGACAGACAAACTCATTCTCAATTGCAATTGGATCTTGTCGAACATTTATGGGAACGAAATGGTGGGCTTTAGTAAGGGATTTGTATGCTGATGTAATATTAATGTCATTTAATTTAGTGTTGCAAGTAAAGACCTGTTAGTTGATGTAATATTGATGTTATTGAATTTCTATATTAATATGTGATCATATTTGATTTTTGAGAAAAGTTTCCATTTGCATAAATAGAACTTCATAAAATCTTCAAATACGATACATCATCTTCAAGTACGATACAACAAGAGTAAATTGAAATACATAAGAGCACACTAAATATGATACATCATCTTCAAGTACGATACAACAAGAGTAAATTGAAATACATAAGAGCACACTAAATATGATACATCATCTTCAAGTACGATACAACAAGAGTAAATTGAAATACATAAGAGCACACTAAATATGATACATCATCTTCAAGTACGATACACCATCTTCCTTCTAATTTGAACTACCACCACCAAATTGCCTTTCAAGAATTTCCATCTTCAACTTATTGTAATACTCTACTTGCAATGGAGGCATGCCATCAGTGTTAATTGCCATAATCCTCTCATCTTGTTTCATAGCTTTCAATCGCATTTTTTCCTTTTTGATATTTTGAGCTTCTTGAGCGACCTGTAGTCTAGCTTGCTCTATCTTTATGCGCTCTTGCTCCTGAACATAAATTTGACCAAATAATTCTGCTCTCTTTATTTCTTTTTCTTTCCGATCCTGCTTCATTTCATCAATAAACAACATCACTGGTGTAATTTCAGAAGCCACATGCTTGTCTTTACCTTGTTTCAACCTTTCTTTTGCAGCCTTTCTTCCTATGGGCCTTGACGAACCCTCAGTAGGACATTCGTCTTCCCTACAATTTATTGAATCTGGAGTTGCAGGAGAAGATGTAGCAGGACTTGAATTTTTTGACCTCTTAGATTTTTTCATTGAAAATTGGCCAAGCCACTTTGGATGGAACCTTAACTCATTCCAACAATGTAAAAATTGAAAACTTGCTCCTTGCATGCTTTGAAACATTTGCATCGCTTCCATAATCTAATTAAAAAATAAAATAAATTTACTAACATGTAAAAAGTAAAACAATTAATAAATTATATAAATCTAATCAGTTTAAATAATTTGAAGCCACAATTAGTACCTTGTCATTCTCTGTCACGCCACTTTGATTTCTTGCTTCAATTTGATTAAAACACCCACAAAATTTACTAACTGCAATTTGAATTCTGTCACGCCACTTTGATTTCTTGCTTCAATTTGATTAAAACACCCACAAAATTTACTAACTGCAATTTGAATAGCAGACCAACGGTGCTCTAACCCTTTTTGATCACGATCGCTACTGAATGTTTTGTTTTCATGATAGTAAGTTGCTACTCGGTGCCAAAATGTGGAATATTTTTGCAATGTCCCTTGCACTGGATCAATGCTAGTGTTGATCCATGCAGATACAAGCAAGGTGTCTTCTTCGATCCGATATTTTGATTTTCGCATCGACTTCTTTTGCAATGGTACATCTTTTACCGTATTTTCTTCGGGTATGTCCGGCTGAAATGATTGCTCTTCATATTGATCTTCCCATGGATAATGACTAGTCATCAAATTGACATAATATGGATTATTATTTTCTGCCATCTACATCAGTATAAATCTTACATGAGTATGATTTAATTAAAATTCTCAAATTGTTAAAAATATAAGAAACATGAAGTGCAATTATAATTAAACAAAAAATATAACCTACCTTAAATTGTAGTATATATGATGAAATAGAGGTAGAAATAATGAAAGAGTGAAGTGTGAAAGTGAACATCAGGGTAGTGCCTTATTTATAGGGTAAATATTAATTAGATAGTTTTAAAAAAATTAGCTATTCTAGCTAAAAAACAAAAAAAAAAAGCCTATACTAGAAAAATAGCCTAGACTAGGAAAAAAGCCTATACAAGAAAACACCCTATACCACAAAAACAACCTATAATTAAAAAAATCCTATACTAGAAAAACAACCTATATTAGAAAAAAAAGCCTATACTAGAAAAACACTTTGTACTAGAAAAAACAACTTATAATTAATAAAAAATATTAATAAAAAATTATAATAAAAAATTATAAGAGGTACATTTTAAAAAATATTAATCAAATTAAATTAACTAAACATTAATTTAATTATATTATTTTAAATTAACTATATATTAACTAAATTTAATAACACATAAATTAACACTAAAAAAAAAATATTATTATAAAATTATAAGGGGAAGGTTAAGGGACTTTAACCTTCCCCTTATTCTAGGGAGAAAGTTTAGGGAGTTGAGGTGAAGGGACAATTTTTCCGGTCCATTGGAGACCGGATCCCTTAAAACTCCCTTAATTTAGCTAAGGGGCCGGATTTTTCCGGCCCCTTGGAGATGCTCTAACAAGCTTGATAAGAGATAGATGTAACATTCAGATAAACTCATTTAATATCTTCTCACTCCTAGATGGTCTCTACACCCGCAAGTGTCACACTCGGGTTTTTGCATGTTCTTCATTAACATCCCTTAACTAAAGGAAGCATCAACTTATCGAGGCTCATCACATTAAATAGTGCATAAGAAAAGTTATCAATCGTGAGATCAACGTACGCACGAATCCTTAAGTCTACTGATCCAACGGTTAACTTCTCTCTTAATCTGCCGATGATGCAAATAGACTAGCACTTCCTCTCTTCAAACGTGAGCTCAGGCTACAAAACGAATCTCTCTGCGGAATGATGCATCATATTCGCGCATGAAAATAGGCGATCAGATACGGAGGAGACCCGTGAACGCGTGAACGTACGTCCTCTGTTCCACAGCGCGCATGCGCGCATGCTCCGAGCGCACGTGGGTCTTAGATGCTCGAACCCCGTCTACATATCTTGTTTGGATTGGCTACAAGTTAAGCGTTGTGCCTCTGTGTTATTTCTTACATCTTGGCTATAAATTACTGATAGAGAGTGATGCAGAAGAAATAAGTGATGCTTTTATGGAGAAATTGGATTGTGTGAAGATGAGGCAATTTAAGCGAAAAGAATTTGCTAGAATATAAAATTATAACACTCAATACTCACCATAACTTTGTGGTGTAGTGGAAAGGACGTAAAGTGATTCGGGAGATTTCCACGTGCAAATTTGGAGGACCGTATCTCTTGACGCACTCCATAGAATCCTTACTATGATACAGTTTCAAAAAGTTCAAGTATTCTATGCTGTCAAAAAAGAAAAATAATTAGTATAAATCCAAAATTAAAAGTTAGAACTCCAGGCCTAAACGGGTACAATCGTGATTTCACTGCCCTAGAAGATATAGGATCCGTCTATCGTCCTGGCGCAGTCGATTCTCTCCCCTAGCGGTAAAAGCCCCCAAAAAACGGCTGGCCTCTGTACTCGGGTAAGAGTAGTAGAGCTTCTGCTCAGACGAAGATGGTTGCCCGGAAAATAAAATAATAGCCAAAATTTTCAGAGCAAGAGAACAAGTAAAACTGGTTTTCAAAAGGGAGGAAGAATGCTCGTTTTTCTTGTGTCTTCCAAAGAGGAGAACCTCTGAATATATAGGAGTTGAAGGCCATATATCAGTTGCTCCAAATCCGCATACGTTACGCAGAATCCGCGTAAATCCTCGCGCTAAACTCCGCATCCGTTACGAACGAGTCATACGGAAGAAAACGGTAAATTAAAAGATTTGAGAGGTAAAAAATTTTGTGTGCGTGCGGTGTGGTGCGCGCGGTGGCATGGCGAGGCGAGGCGTGCGTGCGCGCGCGTGTGTTATGCAAAACCCACAAAACCTAAAACACTATTCAAGGCCCAATAAAATGTGAACCAATATAAACCTCTTGGAGTTCCTTCCATTTTCCAATGTGGGACTATTCACAAAGATAAAATTACCTTTTCATGAACAAAATATCCAACAGTCCCCCCCCCCGCCCCCCCCCCCCCCCAAAAAGCAATATTGACTAAAAACTCAAAATCAATAAATAAATCAATAAATCATAAAAAGGATATAGGTTGGGTAACCTTTCGTGTCGTGAATTCGGGAGAGCTAGCTTCCGGCTTTGAACCTTTCCTTAGTGAGTTCATCGTCACCTGAGGGACATAATGGACTAGGCCTTGAATTATGCCCCTTGAATCAAGTATTGACGAAAACATACACAATACGTCTTTATCTATTGAGCAAAGCGGGTTGAGCGTTAAATGTCATGCTCACAATAACCGACTCATAAGAGTTTCTAGGGATTAGCTCAGCCCCTCCCAACCGCGACCATCACTGTTTCTCTCACGTAGGTAAGTCCTCCAAGGGTACTACAACTGGATATTATACCATCCGCAATACACGCTTGGACTTGTTAAGAGTAAAACTCAACCTAACCATCTGTATTATAAGAGCATCGTCATCATAGAGAAGGGGTAGTAGCATATGCTACATAATGATATATAAATATATCTAGGTCGATGCTCCACAGAGTGTCACTTGTCAGCTTGTTTCTACCATATTGAATCAATATTGGGACTACGTCTCCAAATAAGGATTGGGTTACCGCTATCAGTGACCTCATCTATGGCCTTAACCCCATCTCCCTCGATGAATCCAGAACCACACTCCTGGATAACCCATTAGTCAAAGGGTCAGGAAGATTCTTCTCAGACTTTACAAAGTCCAAGATCACAACTTTGCCTAACAGGCGTTGTACAGATTTATATCTTATTTGAATATATCTGTTAAGTTTTTTATTTACATGCACTTGCTTTAAAAGCTCTATGGTGGATCTAGAATCAGAGTAAATGGAAATAGGAGGAGAGGGTTTAGGGACCAAAGGAAGTTCAGAGAGAAGATCTTTTAACCATTCTGCTTCTGTACAAGTGATATCAAGAGCAATCAATTCAGACTCCATGGTGCTCCTGGCAATCACTGTTTGCTTGCAGGATTTCCAGGATACAGCTGCACCACCAAAAAGAAATACATATCCAGATGTTGACTTTACAATGTTAGAATATGTGACCCAATTGGCGTCACTATACCCTTCTATAGCATCAGGGTAACCAGTGTAAGTCAAGCAACCTGATCTGCGTCGACGTCGCCTGAGCTCGCCTCAACTTCGAGCTCGTCGCCTGCAGGTTTGCTCTACACACCATAATATTTTCTTTCAAACTTGCTTTCATGAAATTACGTCCAAAAACTCTCTTCATTATCGTCTTCTCCAGCCTTCTTTCCTATGCATTCTCCGAAATCAAAACCACAAAATTAGTTTTCGATTCTAGTTCGTGCATTCAATTTGAAGCATTTGGCTTCACACGCCAAGGGCTTTGCATCTTTAAATCGCAATTCGGTATCTTGGGAGGCCTCACAAGTCCCCAAGCTCTCATCCCTCGGCTTCTTTTTGAGCACCACAAAAAAATTCGATGATCATCATGATAATTTCTGTTCATCTATCTCCGATTTCTCTCTCCCCATCCTCGCATTCCAAGACCTTCACAATTTCGTGGGCAATAAGACAATTCATGCACGTCTCCTCTGCCGATGAATACATTCTCTTTTTCTCCAATTGCGTCTCCACTTCAACGAAGAAAATGTACAATATGAGGTGGGCAGAGGACTGTGATCACTGCATCAGTGTTTTCTTGATGATCAAGAAATCCAGGGCAAAGAGGACTGAAAGGCACCAGGACTCAAGTTCTTGCAAAGGAGTCTGTTCATGTAACCCTTGCTGAGAAGACCAAATAGGAAACTCAAAATCTGAGTTGATACTGGCATTAATATAAAGGTGCGTTGTCTTGCAAATAAGAAAGGAAAATAAAAAAAAAATACTCAAAGAAATACACCAGCCGGGAATCGAACCCGGGTCTGTACCGTGGCAGGGTACTATTCTACCACTAGACCACTGGTGCGGTGACGATGTCAAAACTCTTCACGCATAATATATATAGAGAGAGAAATATGGAAAACATTACTAAATTCTTTCTTTGAATTTGGTAGTAAGGTGCTCAAATCTGCCCCCATACATCACAGATAGAGCCTCTTTTTTAGAATAAATGAATAGTGATTTAGGTATGAATAGTGATTGAGGCTCTATCTTCGATGATACGTGACAAATAGCGATTGAGACTCTATCTTAAATGATACGTGATAAATAGTGGTTGATGCTCTATTTTCGATGATACGTGATAAACAGTGGTTGAGGCGATGATGCGTGATGTAGAA